GGGTTTAGCGTTCTAGGGTTAGGGGTTTAGGGATTTAGGGTTCTAGGGTTTAGGGGCTTAGGGTTTGGGGTACTGTAGTCTCCTCAGGTATTCGTTTTCATTCTTATGACTTATAGTATAACCCTAGGGAATTATGAAGCATAGTTGTCATTAAGTTCTAAGGGGATTACATGCTAGAGGTCTCGTGGATTTCGGGGTCTAGGGTTCAAGTCTTAGGGGCTTAGGGTTTAGGCGTTCGGGTGAGGTTTAGGATTTGGTTGCAGAGTGGAAAAGAAATTGGGAAATTTCTACTTGGAAGGGAAACTGAGATTACATGGTTCTTTAGGGTTTTCGGGTTTAGGGTTTCAGGGGCCTTTGGGGATTTTAGGGCTTCAGGGTCCTAGGTCCCTCCCTAAATCCGAGTGTTCTGGGATTGGTCCGATCTGTGGGACCTAGCTTTGCCTGGTCATATGAGCTAAGTCTAAACTTCTTGAAGGTGGGTTCTATAAGGGATTTTTTATAGGGGATTATTATCGGGTTTATTTAGGGGGATGCTGGAAGTTTACACTATAGCTCATATAGAGCACATCCGGGGAATTTTCTGAGCAGTCAGCCTACCAGAGCTTTGCTCCTAAACCCTAGTCCTTCATTTGGGCCTTATCCCATCCAGTGCCCAGCCTTCCGGCCCAGCCCTCCGTTTTTCAGAGCTTCAGACCTTCAAGGTTCCAGAGACTGACGGCTGAACATAGAGATCATTGCAGGGGGACTCTATAGGCATTTCTCAAACCAAAGGCCGCACAGGTTTTGACATGACGTGTGGGCAACAGGCTTATTGGGAGGCTCTTAGAAACAGCGCTTGAAGCCCTACACGAGCATGCCTGCAGTCATTCCGAGGGCTAGCCACTCAGGAAAGAAGCCAGAAACCGCAAGAAACTCGATGACATTCAAGACAAGGGCCCTCAGACCAGAATCCTCTCAGAATCCCAATGTCTCCCTGGGGTCCCTAAAGGCCCCCAGTCTGAGAAATCCTCGTAAAGGGATCAGTACAGGGATTTACTCTTGTACTCTTGCACTCCCTGCTTGAAGGAATTCGGGATTAGGGTTTAGGGAGGGTTTTGTACCAAAGGTCCCATCTTGCGCTGAAAGTTCAACCCCTGATTCCTCGAGAGACCTAACTACCCCAAAGCCCTTAAGATACAGTGTAGGGCCTAGGGCCATACTCAAAACTTTACTTATTGGCGTCAGGACTGCATGCCCCATTCTCTGCCATTCCCTACTAAATGCCAGCAAGCCAAACTCCATGCACATGCACGCCCTTTTGTCAGGGCGAATAACTTTGGCCCTGCACCCGCGACCCTAAACCCCACTAAACCCTAAACCCTGAACCCTTAAACCCTAAACCCCTAAACCCCTAAACCCCTAAACTGCTGAACCCCTAAACCCCTAAACCCCTAAACCCTAACCTAGACCACAAACCGTAACCAAACAACTTGTGCAGGGCTACTGCTATGCCGCCGGCATGGCCCAGCTTGAGGATGGCAACTTCTATGCCGCCGCGCCTGTTGCAGATGAGGCCGCAGTGTCTTCAAGGGGTTAGTTTAGGGTGTAGGGTTTAGAGTTTAGGGTTTAGGGCTCATGGGTTTCCTTACTACCCCCCTCTACACGACCCCCCCGGCTCCCTCCCCCCTTATTTCTAGATAATTAGGCTTAATCAAGGTGAATAATCAAGGTAAATTAAGGGGGAACCTAGGGGGGGTAGTATGGTGAGGGCGTAGTGGGGAAACCAATTAGGGTGACATGTTGTTTAGGATTGGGGTTGACGGTTCAGGATGGGTTTTTTGGGGGGTTGGGAGGGGTTTAGGGTTTCTAGGGTTTTGGGTTGGGTTCGGGCTTGTGTGTAGGACAAGCCCCCGTCATAAGCAGGTAGCATTTTAGAGTCACTTGTCGTTATAGAGTCCAGGTTGTTAATTAGCCTGTGACCCCTGAAGTTGTTAATTATTGTTGATGTGTCAAGTCCTATGTATTGATGGACTAACTAAAAAGGTGCCTAGGGTCGTGCAGAATTCGTGAGAAGCAACTGTAGTTTGGAGCCCAAAATGTTGTTCAAGTAAACTTCATGGATCGACCAGTGGAGTATGTTGTTCTTGATGAAATGCCCCAAGAAGGACACTCGAACACTTGAAGCCCGTGGATTCCGCTTCGGCCTCAAGAGACAAATCTCAATGGTTTTTCCCGAAGTTAGTTCAAGGTATGCCTAATCAGCAACAGAGATCAACGAGATAAATCTTACCCCGCTATCCATCCCTGTAGATTCATCCCTGTATGCTTCTTCTGCATCCCCTACCAAATCCCGCTAGAATCCCCACAACCCCAAACCCCAAACCCTGAGCAGGCTGGGTGGGGCTTTATCTTCAAGGAAGACCACGAGCAGATGATCATGCAGGATGTCCCTGGCCTGCAGCCACTGGCAGCATGCCCCCGCTTTAGGGACTTGTCACGGTTATTCAGGAGTTCTTAGATCTGTATGGGCTAGGTTCCTGCAAGGTGAAGGCTTATGTGTTTTTCGAACACAGCTATGAGTTGCCTTTCAAGGTTAGCTGACGATCGCTGTTGGGAGGTGAATCCCCATGTTGGAAACACCAAGTTCAGAGAGGGTCGCAGGGTCGAACTCCCGGGTGTCTTGGGACGGAAAGAAAGCCCTTGTTCCTGAAACTTAGGAGGGGATGGAATGAGACTGAGAGAATATACTATAAAGGAGGTATAAAGAGAAGAATTATAGATTCCTTATTCCCTACGGAGGGTTGGGTATCCCCCATGCCGAAGCGCAGCCATTACATCTGCCTGTGTTGGGTGCCGCTCTGGGCTTCTAAAGGTAATACTACATTTCTATTGTGGCTACTATTCATGTATGTATGGTAGTTATTCTGCAGATACAGTGGTAATGCTTGGTAGTCTTGCTCTAAGGACATGACCGAGAAGAAGATGACCATCAACGAGGCAGCGATTTGAGATGACTGCGCCGTAGATCACCTTCATACTTTGGAGTCCGTCGTTTTTCGTATACCTAGCTCACGAATGACTGTTCATATTTTGTGAGGGCCCATGTAGCCCCACTTGTCACAAACTGCAACATCGTAATTTTGATTTACTCGCTGGGCTTTGAGAAGTCCAGTGACAGAGATCTGAAAAGTTTTCCAAGTCGAATCCTTAATTGAGATCCAGAGGTTCAGTTTGTAATCCCAGGGTATCACCATGTCCCTATCTCTCTCAAGATGTTTTGAGAAGCCCCATTTCTAGAGGGTCCAATCAGCGTATTGGTTTCGGACACGGTCATGCCGTATGCAAACCTTTTTTCCTTTCTGTGCGTATGTCGGAAGGTTATGTGAGCTGATAGCCAGCAATGGGCTGGACCAAAGGGCAAAAGGGAGTTGGGGGTAGCATGGAAAGCTTTGTTGATTGGATGCTGTACAAAGCTGAAGATCGGATTTCTAACAGCTAGCAGTCCTTCGGTGTTGTTCTTTTTAGAGGATGTGCCTGATGCTCTGGTCATTTGATTTCCACGAACATGAACCATGCAATCCGCGTTCTCTTCCTACAAGAGGGAAGACCTTGCCTGCAGTCTTGCAACAGAAGCAAACCCTACAAGCGCCATATATTTCTCTCCTACATCCCCATGGCTTTCATGGCAGCACCATGCAGGGCATAGATAGATAGTGTCCCAGTAGGCTGTCCCCCACTGGCCGCAGGGTACCGCACTAAAGTTCCTGGCAGACAACTACAAGGCTGTCTCGGGTTCTGGGAAGTTTTTAGAGATTACAGCTCCTAAACCCCAAACCTGACTAAGCCTCAAGCCCAAAGACCTTCTTCAGTCTTCGGACGGAGCAAGATATCTCATGCGGCTCCTTTTCGGATTTAGGGCTAGAATTCAGATTTTTCAGGAGCGGGCTCCAAGTTTGAGTTTGAGGGTCAAGACATGGGAATCCTGTTTCGGAGGAAGGCCATTTGGACTCCCCAAAGTCAGGGATCCCGTAAAGTAGATAGAATATGGGGTATGCGGGGGATCTTATTATAATATACCCAAGACCACATGCTATCTACTTCAGGGGGACTGTAGGGATCCCTTTTCAAAGTCCAATGATGGTATTCGGGGGGTTGGGGGTTACCCAAACTCTTTTGTTGAATCAGGGAACTCCACGAAGCCATGCCATGTCACATTTGCTATTGGTTGAGGCCCCTAATCATTGTATCAGCTTTGTTCATGCTTAAGGGGAACCCCTCTGTCTCCTGCATATATCCCGAGTGCCTGCTTTCAAGAAAGCTGCGGTTTAGCGAGGATCAAAACCGTAAACCCTCAAAACCCTACCCAGCCACAGACTAACATGGAGCCGCGGAGGGGCCCTACAAAAACTACCGTGCTTCAGGAGTGCCCTATGGTTCCATATTACTTTGAGGGAGGATAAAGCTCCATCAAATATCATTTTGCTTTCATGAATCCTGGGGGAGTGGCCTCTGTATTCTTCGAATAAACCCTACAGAATCCTCTCCATTTCATTTACCATGTGATAAGAACATCAAAGGGCAATAAGAAGATGTTGGCACCTCTCAACCCCACAAAGCTGGGACCATAATGCCATCGTATGAGTGTAGTAGTCCCCCTCAAGTAGATAGAATATGGCTTTAGGTATAGTATAATAAAATCCCCCAAAACCACATATTCTATCTACTGACGGGGGACTACAGTAGATGCTAAGTGTCGAGGTTGGGGGGTTTAGCAACATCCTCTTGCTAAAAGGCGCCTCCAACTGGCCTTTGGTTCGGTGGAGAGATGCTGGGCTGAAGCTTCAAGTGAGAATAAGAATAGTTATAATAATAGGACTAAAATAGTAATAATGATAGTAATAATAAGTTGGGATAACTTGAGCGTGCTTGCGTTTTCAGGGATCTTGCTGGCAAGTTTCCCGATATGTTTCACCAGATGTTTTGAAAGAAGGGTCTGCTGGTTCGGAGTCTTTAAGTTAAGGCATTGTGGTGCGGAGCTCGGGTATGTGCAAGCCATTTTCGAGAAGGAGGGGCTGGGTCTGCCGAACTCACAGCATCCTTCAGCATCTACTGCGTGCCTGGTCAACCGACGTAGTCAGCAAACAGCATCAGGATGAAACAATGAGTACATGATCCATGGCGAGCCAAGCAGAACCTTGTGCCATCAAACCGGAACAGAGCCACAGGGCGTATGAGAATTGCGCTTGCAGTCGACTGGAAGGCCTCACCAAAAACATCACGCCTTTTCCGGTTTGCTGTCAAGGAACTTAAGTCCGCGTACCTGCCATCAGAGGGAAGCCGCTATCGTTTTCCATATATCCATGTTGTGATACCTTCATTTAAGGTCCTTAACAGCAAGCTCGGAATTGAGAGGTTGTGTTCATCCTCATTCCTTCGGTACCTCCGCTTCTGTGTTCCGAGGAAATATGCAGTTACGCGCGTGGACAAGAACTTTGAGTCCGGGGACTGTTCGTTCTTTGGCACAAATACGGGTAAGTTTGTTGAATGGGGGGTTGTGGAGTTGAAAATCAGATCCTATTTTGGATGCAACATGCGAGGGATGCTGTTAAAAGTTCCGCGCAGCATTGCGCAGGAGCCCATGCTTTTCCGGCATTGCGGTCTCTTTACCACAAACTTCGGAACTTTGGTGATAATTGAACCCCTACCCTACCATTCAACTGATGGGAGGGTCTGGTTTTGGATTACTCAGACTACGGTTTTTCAAGCAAAGAAAAGGATTGGATCTCACAGCTAAGCACAAAAACACGTGCGGTGCAGAACAGGTCCTCCAGCCCTTGCAGAGACAGCACCTCATTCTCTTTGACAATGGTTTCTTGCTGCAACCGTCCTTGTCAAGCATTTCCCTCAGCCCCCAACTTACACCCAAAGCCCGAAATTGTAAAGCATATCGCCGGACGAGGGAAAGGTCATTAGAATAAGCTGTAGAAAAACCCAGTCTCCCCCAACCGCGGGTCAACTTCAAAACAATTACCTATTTAAACCCAGGTCTCCAAGCCAAGGCCCTGAACAAGTCCTGAACCCTGACCTGAAAACCCAGAACCATAACCTCACTGACCCTCAGGGTTGCAAAATACTGGTCTGCAGGTTCATCTTCATCTTCGCCGCAAAGCCCAAGAAGGACTGGATCTTTACTCAAAAGGGAACTGTCTCTTCACAGGGTGTGCTAAGGATTCCAGGGTGGGTGTTGGTTCTGACCGATTTTGTAGCTGATTGAGTACCAAGTCCTCAATCCTCCTCCTGCTCCTCCCTTCCTTCTCCTCACCTCGACTACAAGTACTGCCACTGTCTGAGCACTTCTCTAAACTGCCCGTATAGAATCTTTCATGAATCCACATATGGACAGATGGTAATTTCCATGAATAAGCGGACCCTAATATAGACCTCCAAAAAACGATAATTCTTATTAGTATAAGGACCCCCCAAAAAGGTACGCCTAATTGTCGGAACCCCATATATAGTCCCCCTTAAGTAGATATAATATGGCTTTGGGTATATTTTAATAAGATTCCCATATACCCCATATTCTATCTACTTAAGGGGGACTATACCCTAAACGCTAAACGGCTCTACACCCTAAACCCTAAACCTATCTACTTAAGGGGGACTATATCCCTACATAAGGGCCCCTCGTTTTTGAGAAGGCCCGTTTCTGGGTCCTGGGCTTGCCTTGGCCTGCAGGGCGTTTCCATTGCCATCACCAAGACCCAGGTGATCTGCGGATTCTACGATGACTCTTGGCCCTAAACCTTAAACCCTAAATCCTAGATCCTAGACCCTAAGCCCTAAACCCTAAACCCTAAACCCTATAGACCCTAAACCCTGGCATGTGCAGTGCAGGCCTGTAGGGCTTCAGGGCTTTTAAGATGAGGTGATAAGACTTGGGCCTGGAACTGGCTGTAGTCTTTGCGATGGAGGTTGCCCCAGCCACTGCCCCAACTCTGCCCGGTCTTGCCTGGTCTTCAGTGCCCAATGCTGCTTTATGGTCCCCCTGATTGCAATAGGTAAGGCTTGTGCAGCAAGTCTCACGTTGTGACATGGTAGCTTCGAATAGAGAAGCCCTAATATACACACCAAAACACCTAAGATGCTATCGGAGGTTGCGTTGTTGTAGCAGTTGGCTCTTTGTGGTACTTCTTATGCTTCTGCTCCAGCAGAACTGTACATCGCTGATTAGCACAAGTAGGGACAGCAGTAAATGTACATGAGGACACGGAAATGGTTGCGTCTGCTATCATGACTTGCTTTCCCTGCTGTGGCTGAGGAGGAGAAGGGACAGGTTGGTGGCAACTGCACGAAGGACAGGGCTCTGGCGAGGGGTTCTATGCACGCGCTCAGTCAGATTGTTGGAAATCAGATGTTCAGGAAACCAGACATAAATTGTGCTCTTAACTCGTTGTCCATGAAGTCACTGCTTGTAGGGTTTGCTGTGGGGAAGTTTGAGAGGCCGTGGTCGCCTTCGCGGAGTACATGATCGGGCTGGGCTATTGAGAGCTTGGCAGTCAATTCAGTGATCTGAGGGGCTCCCAGGGAAGGTCCGGGCATTGGGCTCATTTGTTGCAGTACCGTAGGGCCCAATTTCTGGGAATCCCTTAGCATCGCTCCTCATAGCCGACTGCGACTTTCTGAAGCTTGCCACACTTAACTATACTCCAAACATGTTGAAGTCATCCACCATAGTCTTTAGCTTTGTGGAGAATCTGCACCCTCTGACATTCCTAGCCCTTTCCTCTTGGAGAGCACACGAAAAGCGTGGCTGCTCCCACGTTTGGTGGGTGGCCCCCGTGATTTGGTGGGATGCACCGCAAGTGAAGGCTGTGCTGTTCATGGCTTTCCTAAGTCTGCTCCTGCTAGTCAGAGGCCGCTATGAGAGATGCGCGCTCATTGGTTTTCGTTTTTGTGCGCCTTGGACAAGGACCGTAGAAGCACAGGTACCCAAGACATGCAGCTGCACGCAAAGTCTTGAAATGAACGTCTGCGCTGCTTTGCTGTCAGAACTGCAGGTGAAGGCCTGAGCACCCAGTCAGCTGAATTCCTATGCAAGCACTGTAGGCTTTTGCCCAATTTAATGCTTTCCATGTCCCCTGGTGACCGGTCCTGGTAGGCGTCCGTCCCTCCAACCCTAGACCCTGAACCTAACATCCTAAAGCTTAAGCTCTAAACCCGAAACCCTAAACTCTGAACCCTACACTCTAAACCGTGAACTCTGAACCCGAAACAGTAAACTCTGTCCTTGGCCACTTGGCTCCAGAAACTGCTGTCATCTGCTTTCCCGCAGTGCTACCTGCACCCGTTCTACACGCGTCCTTTGCTCAGCTACCTCGGTCAGCTAAAGTGGGGGTTTCTCAAGAAGGCTTTTTGCGGGATCATGGGTAATGTGGAGTATACAGCCTTAAGGATTACGTACGGACTCTATGAGAGAGTCCCTACAAGTTCATTTTCATGGGCCAAATTGGAGCCCGGTACCAGGTAAGGGTCGAGTTTGATGCCCTGTTGCTGCTGCTGCCCTAAACCCTAAAGCCTCTAAGCCCTAAACCCTAAACCCCTAAACCCCTAAACCCCTAAGCCCCTAAACCCCTAAACCTAAACCTCAAAGCCCTAAACCCTCCAGTGATCCTCATGATGCTGCTCAGGCCATGGCCGAAGAGGAGGAAGCAAGTTGGGACCAGACCCTTGATGAGTGGCTCATTAGCGAGGCAGCAACAGTACAAGTTCACATGAACTAGAGTCTAAACTCCGTGTATACATATATATGTATATATATATATATGGTTTAGGGTTTAGGGTTCAGGATTTAGGGTTTAGAGTTTAGAGTCGAAAATCCTCAAAGGGGGTTATATAGGGGACTCTATTTGGGGGTTATTACGGTGGATACTGGAAGTTTAGACTGTGGCTCACATGGTCTTATAGGGTGTAGGGTTTAGGATATAGGGATAATGGAACAGAACATGGAAACTACTATAGTGTATCGGGCTCATATAGGGATAATGGAAAAATGGAAGCTACTATGTACATCAGGGGTTTAGGGTTTAGAGTTTTGGATTTGGGTTTTAGGTTTAGGCTTGAGGCCCGATGAGTCTGTGTGCACAACTTCTATAGGCTTCTTTTGGGAAGCCCCTTGAGATCTGCGTCTGGGGTTAGGTGCCAAGCACAGGGCCTGCAAGGACACATGAATTTCGCGTCTTCCCAGCAGCCCCAGCAGCCCCAGCTGCCCCAGCTGCCCCAGCTGCCTCAGAGTCCGCGATCATGCTCCAGAAACCTCCTATATAGTATTCTCTCCCGTTGGCTGGTGCATGCTGTGAGTCCTATACTGCTTCCCACCACGCCCGTCATGCTCAACCGTAAGCTCTGTACGCCCACTTGCGCCACCTGAAGTTCCAAACCCTCACATGCCGAACGCCCAACCCTGATCCCAACAAAAATTTCATGCCCCAGGCCGTCAGACTTGAACCCATAACACACCATGCGCCCGAAACATGAAGCGGGCAAATTGGGATCCCAGGGGCTAAGCCCTGAACCGTGAAGCGTGTGACAGGGCTACTGCTATGCCGCCGGTATGGCCCAGCTCGAAGATGGCAATTTCTATGCCGCCGCGCCTGTTGCAGATGAGGACCTACGGGATTAAGAGTTTGAGCTGTAGGGTCTGTACGTGTAGGCGTTCAGGGTGTTGTAATTTAGAGTCGAGGTGTTAGGGGTCTAGGTTTGGGGTTAGGATTTTGCAGGTAGATCGTCAACAGCGCAAGATGATGACACAGGGACATGGGGATATCGGGTTGTGAGTAGTCCTTCTGCTGTTTTAAAGTAAGGGCTTGAGTCTAGTGGTTCTGGTCGCAGGGCTCTGGACCCCCGGAAAATCCTGGTTCCCATTTCAAGTTCTATTTTCCGATTTCCTAGAAACCGCCGTCACACCCTGAACCCCAAACCCCCCAACCCCTAAACCCTAAACCCTAAAACCTCTAAACCCATATTCAGGGGGCTCAAAAGATGGGATGAAGGTAGGTGCGTCAAAGGATCCTTAGAGTATATACTCTACTTCCCATAATCCCTATATAACCTCTTTTTAATCCCTATAGTTCCCATTTTCTTTTCCATTATCCCTGTGTTACCCCAATATAGGTCCACCTTCCTTCATCCCACCTTTGGAGCCCTTTGACATTTTAGACTATAGCTCAGAATCCCTATAAACCCCTACATAATTCCAGTTTCCATTTCATTTTCCATTTTCTTTTCCATTTGATTCTCCATTATTGGAGGTATATTCCCCCGATATATATTATTCGCCCTTGCTCTGTGAGGCCGGCTGGGGCTTCATCTTCAAGGAGGATCATGAGCAGATGATCATGCAGGATGCCATTGGCCTGCAGAGTAATTATAAGAGGGTGGTGGGTCCTGAGCCCTAAGCCCTCAAGCCCTAGAGCACTTCTGGGGATTTTGAGGGCTTTCTATGCTTATGGGTTGGGAATTCTGATTCTCTAGACAAATCAATTAGCACGCTTGAGTGCGAGGTTGTTGTCAAGCTTCCCTCCAGCTGCGGCTTTCCAAAGGTACAATGAAGACAACATCTGTTCTATTGCAGCTCCTGCTTCTGTCACCAGCGCAAGTGCTGCTGCTACTGCTGTTGCTTCTAGTGCGAGTACTGTGTATGGTACTGGCACTACTGCTACTGCTAGGACTCCTGCTTTTACTGTATGCCTTGCAAGGCCTCTGGTGGGTGAGACGGTGAGATTATGTCAGCTAGTCTCATCAAGAATGCCACTGGCGGACTCATCATGTTATTCTAAGGACATGACTGAGAAGAAGATGACCATCAACGAGGCAGCGGGATTCGCAGCCATGTGAACAACCCTTTGTCGTGTCAGTATAGTCTTGGCTTCATCTGGTGAGTCCTGAGCCTTTGGTGGCCCTAGACAGTCCCTAGTAGCATAGAGCCGGCTTACGTCTCATGCTTGTGACATAGGGTTTAGGGTTTAGGCCTAGCGGAGCAGGAGTTTCTGTCTGAATTTCCGTCCTGGTGCAGGGAACCGCTCTGAAGTTCCTCGCAGACAACCACAAGGCGAGAGACTGCCTTGCCGAAGACCTTGCCATTGAAGGGTCCTCGTTTCAAATCCCAGTACTATAAGGCTTATGATATACTGGGGCCCTGTATTTCTCAAAACACGTCTATGGGAATGTGTGGTATCCTGAATTTCAAATGACTGTGGGGACACTCCATTTAGCAGCTACCAACGCACAACCATAGCCCCTATGTAATCCCCAGCTTCCATTCCTTCATTCCCCTGCTCACCACCGTGACCATTCTACCCTATAATTAGTAACCCTAAATCCTAAACCCTATCAACCAGCAAGTATTAGTCTGCAAGGCACCCCCGACCGGCCTCTGGTTTGGTGGAGAGAGGCTAAGCCCGCAACCACGCAGTGGGGCCGGCAGGGTCTTCCCTGACAGACGAAATTAGCCCTTTGTGAGGGTTGTCATAATACGGATTGTAAGATATGAGGGTATATAAAGGGGACCCTAGTTTTGGAAACCTTGCACTACTTAGCACCCACACAATATTGTAATTCCTGGGGGTATAGCTATGTATGGCGTCCTTCATCCGCAGTATCCTGAAAACATTACTTACAAGACAGTCTGCAGATTATGATCTAGAGGTTGCAACTCCTGTTTCTTCTTTTGGGTTTCTTGTGCCAGAAGAACCTCCCTATTGGCAGAGCCAAACATCCTCAATTTGGGTTTATCGCAGACTTAGTTGCTTGGCCTTGCTTTGTGACAGAATTCTGCCTTGCTCTACTTTGCAACACAGCCTAGCTCAGGAAGTATGCAGTTACCCGCGTGGACAAGAACTTCGAGTCAGGAGACTGCTCGCAATCTGACGGCAGAGAATCTTTTTATTCATGGTTCCGGGTAGAGCGTTCAGGAGGCAGCGCAACCTATTGCCGAAACCCTGCACCCTAAACCCCGGATCAACAACCCTCAGGGCATCCTGGAGGCAACTTTGTACTTAAGATCTTGCAGGTGGTTGACTCAACTTCCCCCCAGCGCTCCCACCCAAGAGAGCACGCAACAGCTCTTGCCTCTTCCTAGCAGCAAGTAATGCCAACACAAAAGCGGCTCGAGCCTGCACGTCGAACTTGCAATTGTCGGGTTCCCTGGGCCGTTGCATTTTTCCTTTGGTTATATTAAGACCCATTAAGGTAATACACTTTAGTTCCTGAAGCCGTATCCCGATGAGGAACCAGTTTGGAAAGTTGGGGGATACAGGGGATTATGGAGGTTGCGGTCTGGACTCAGATAGAACAAACCTTGAAGTCATTCATATCATGGGAATCTGCTGTTATTTTTCAGCTCTAAAAAGCCCCCGCATCAACCTGTAAATCCTGAGCTGTATTCTCCTTAAGCCCAACAGCGAAAACCTAAGCACCGTAAGCTGTACACCTTACAAACCACAATCCAAACCCCGTAAACCCTAAACCCTCAAATGCAAACCACAATCCAAGCCCAGTTGAGAACTTTGCAGCGCCACAGGTTTGTGTTCATCTTTGCCGCCAAGCCAAAGAAGGCAGTGCGTAGTTCGCCAGACGGCCATCAAACAGTCCACTTACAATCCCTATAAATCTCCAGAGTTCTCAGGGTTTTTCACATTTCAGGAAATTTGTATTTGACACAGGTGGACGTCGGGTGGGTAGTAATTGCCTTCATGTCGGCCAATGTGCGCCGTGGCGCTGCGCGACACGTAGCTTCAGCTGAATGCATCTGAATGCCATATTTCACAATGGTTTTGGCTTATCAGGTTGTAGTGGAGCAGTGGCAAATCTATATTAGTGCGTTCCTCGAGACGACATCTTGGGACAGCATTTGTTGATGAGAGTCTATCAGTGGGAGGACAGGCAACAGGTTGTGTCGAACACGCCTGAGGAGTTTCTGAGGCAGCACAGTGTCACGTCCAAGCGGTGGAACTGACAACTATGTAAGGCATGACATGTTCAAGCTTGTCTTTGTCCGGTTTGTGAGATAGACTCTCATGTAAGAAGCTTTTTGTATCATTTGCATGGCCTTTAGCATGGCTACGGCTACGATGGCTCGTGAAGTGCAAGAATGGTGGTAGTAGGCTGTACTCACACAGGGCCTTGACGCATAGTATACGACAAGATTGTAAGGATTATTCCAATTATCCTGTTCATGGGGTGGTTCTTCCCTCAAAGTGCAGTGATGCTGCATGCTTGCCGCATATGCTTGTTGCGGCTGAATGACACCTGTGTATCTTGATAGTACTCAGAGAACCCTAGACCCTAAACCCTGAACCCAAAACCCTAAATTCAGAGCTGCTTGGATCATCAAGTGGAGAAAAGGTCAAAAAAAAGGAAAAAAAATCAGAGCTGCCCCCCAAAGATCTACCTCGAAATCTTAGGTCCTATGCCATCCTTCTCTGCACATGCTGGCGCAGTATACTTGCAATTGTGAGAGCGCTGGATTGCTAATCCTCCTTAAGAAGTTGCCCGACACAAGAGTCTGTAACTCCGGAATTGTTTTGGCTGAGGGGAAGGTGTGTAAAGGTTCTGAACCTTCCTCTTATCAAAAGGTATTCTGGGATGATTATTCTCTCCGTTATTTGTTTTACAGAGGAACTCATGAATGAACAGTTATTGGGGGCTTGAAAGTCCCACTCAGATTAGGAAGAGTGTTGTGGCATTGTTATGACGAGGCTCATTTCATTGCTTGCGGTTTTTTTGATGTGACCCTGAATTTACAATTGCGCGTAGTAAAAACAAATCGCTTTTTTGCGTGCATCAGAACCAACACAAACTCGTTAACACACAAACAACCTGATAATCCTTTCAGGGCGTCTCGATCGCCATCACCAAGACCCAGGTGATCTGTGGATTCTACGACGAGACTTGCATGCGCATTAGAATTTCCTAAAACATCATGCTTCCTTTAAGAACACTGCCTGCATTTCAACTTGGATATATGTTTTTCCCCAGGTATGTAGGGCTTAGGGTTTTTATTCAGAGATGCATGAAGAATGTTTGTTTTGAGAAGCTCACCTTCAAATCAGGTTGGGAGAAGGACAACAACGGTTAGCAGTGTGCAGGGATTCCTGGGTTGCTGCTAAAGAACTTACATTCAGCTACTATAACCCTACTATCATTTACTTAGTTTACGTCCCTTAACAGCAACCACTTTCTGTCCATGGCTTAGAGGAACTAATTATCTCCCCCGAACAACACGCTATCCGCCCTCCTGAAGATACAAGGCTCTACAGACAGTACCAGTACATATTCGTAGTAATATTCATGATGAGGGAGTTGGGGTTTATTTTCCATTCTGAGCAACCTTACCTGTGCGGCAGCCAAGTCTTGGAAGGACACCTCTTGGCTTGGGCGCTTAGGTTTCGGCTTTAGGTTTTAGGGGATCAGGGTTTTAGGGTTTAGGAGGATTCCTTCGCAAATGCATGAGTTTCCAACGAATAAGAAGGGTTTGGCCTGACCTCGAGGTTTTGTTGGGGTTATATGGGGAGAATGAAAAAGAAAATGGAAGCTACTAAAGTATATAGGGGTTATATTGGGAGACTGGAAAAGAAAATGGAAGCTACTAAAGTATATTGGGGTTATATTGGGAGAATGGAAAAGAAAATGGAAGCTTCTAAAGTATATTGGGGTTATATTGGGAGAATGGAAAAGAAAATGGAAGCTACTAAAGTATATTGGGGTTATATGGGGAGAATGGAAAAGAACATGGAAGCTACTTTTTTTCAGGTTGTATTCTCCGAAGCCTGAAGCCTGAAATTCAAGGCCTTGACTCAGACAACGGCTCCAGGGAAATAACAGGTTCGATGGTTTGAGTTCCCGCACTCTGGGCTGTAGCGAATTTCACTACACCGCCAAAAGGGCCCAAGGCAAGTGGCCGTTACAAATTCCAGTTAGGGGTGTGGGCAGTATCCGTCCGGGAGCTGTTCCAGCCTACCCTTGTGGTAGAAAGCAGAGGGTTGGGATCTTGCTCAATCCCAAGTGCTTCGTTGAGGAAGAAAAGGGCCAGGTGGGCGGCAACTGCACCAAGGCTCGTGCAGACTTTCGGTCTGGGGGTTTTCGGATACTCTAAGACTCTAAGTACTCGGTTTTTTTTGTGGATTGTAGGGAGTTGACTGTAGGAAGCTTAGAGGGATCTGCCAGAGGGACTTCGCGCTGCGCAGGGAGTGTCAATTTCGAGGAGCTCCCATACTACTATTTTCTGGGGATGCGCGTGCAAACCGTGAAGATAGGCGCCTACTTCAAGAACAGTCATATAGGGCAGTCCACATTAGTTAAGGCCTAAACCCTGAACCCTAAACAGTAAGCCTGGATTTGCAGATGCTCAGGAAGTTATACGGTGGATGGAGAAAATCTTGCACCACCAGTCAAGGCCCCAATAATTTGCATAATGCCGGTATCCTAAGTGGTGAGGGGATTTCCTTCATCAACAGCATAGATTCCCATCATGGTACGCTAGGGGCATATAGGGAATTTCTAGGGTTTCCGATAATGCACATGTTTTAATGTCACAACACCCTTTTTCCTCGGAATGTGTGTGTAGGACAGAACACGACCAACACCAAGTTACAAACTTGACACCCCTCGGAGCTTGGAAGGGAGTTAGTCCAAACAATCTTTAACTTTGATAAATCATCTCCTCCTGAATACTTTCATCTTAGCTCGCCATATGGTATCTCCAATGGCACGAGAAATGCATGGGCTTCTTACCAACTGTGTTCTGGCTCCTGGAACTGGTATCATGGCCCTTATGAAATCGTGCAATGGATGGCCGTTAAAGTATGTGCGGATATCCAAAAAAAGTTGTTTCTGCTTCATAAACACCCTAAACCCTGAACCCGAAATCCCACAAAAGAGTTTCCCTCGCAATTCCCGTGTTCGTGACCGCGGAATCCTGTGGGATTTGCCATGCTCTGATCCATGGTTGCCAAAATTATGGTGCCTCTCTGGTTAGTAACAACAGGCCCCCAACATATGGGTGTTTTGACAACTGACCATATGTAGCTTCATGTCCAAGCATGGGTTAATCTCCCACTCGCAATTTTCATTCCACAGCCCTCATTCCTATACGAAGCCTCAACCCTAAACCCAGTGTACAATTTTTGACATCCTTATGAAAGTGTGCAGATTTCAGCAAATCCCTGTGCCTCTCAGGCAGACGTAAACAGTTCGAGGGGTGGAAAAAACCTCAAACCCTGAGATCCGAATAGTTTACCATGCAAGGCCGTCGTTGCCTTCGCGGAGTACATGATTGGCTTGGGCTACTGAGCTCACGAGGTCGTCATTGCTTCGCTAAGTGCCGCAGGGCTCGATGTTCCACCAATGTACGGTCTCGATAGCCTGGAATACAAGGAGACATACACCAAACCCTAGGGTTTAGGGTTATATATACCCCCAATAATGGAGAATCAAATGGATAATTGGAGAATGCGCTGGAAACTGGGATTGCTAGTTGCACGCTCCGGCATTAGTGCGGGGTGAGTCTGAAGAAAAGCGAGCTTGGGAGTGCAGCAGTGTAGGGTTTAGGGTTTAGGGTTTAGGGTTAGGGTTTAGGGCTATCTTGGGTTGAGACGGCCTGCTTGATGGCCACAATCAAAGCACAAATGGGGGCTTCCCAAAATCAGGGGTACCTTTATGGGGTCCCAATAATAAGGATGAGAGTATTCTGGGGTCTACATTGGGGTCCCTCAATTTGGGGAAACTACAAAATGTCGGGGGTCCCGAGCCTGAGTCCCTTATATTTCTCATGTTAGGCCTTCGACATAAACATCTGGCATGGCGTATTGATTAGGAGGACCCCCACCTTGTGATAGTGGTGTATATTGGGACCCTAGTGTAATCATTACTATCCCTTTTTGTCATTATTACAGGGTGTTAAATCACTCAAGGCGTTATACATTAGGAGGACCCCACCCTGTGATAGTGGTATAGTAGGAGCATAATGGCACCCTAATGTAATCACTGTTATCACTCATAGTCACTGTTACAGGGTGGGGGTGTCTCCTAACATTTGAGTACTTACTCGTTCATCAGGGATCTGGTAGCAACTTGGTGGCCTCATTGCGCAGCACTGGCAGGAATATTTTTGAGGATTCCACGAAGGAGCTTAGACCGCAGTGTCTGCTCTGGGACACGCCGCAATATGACAGAACCCATGTGCATGATTGCCTGAAGATTATGGCCAATAGCTTTTATCGTATCGTTGCACACAGACCAACTTTTTTGAGACAGATCTCTATATTCATCACTTGCTGTTCTTGTCCAGCAGCACGCTTGGCTTTGCTGGCATCGGAAAATTGTAGCCGGCTTTCATCTTCATGTGCGTCCCTGCAGAGTTAGCACGCCCAGCCAAATCGTATGTCAGGTATTGTTTGTGCCATTGGTGGATGTAGGGTTGCCTTTCAGTATCTTAACACAGGCCCTTACACGCCCCTTTTTTTGATCTTCCGCCCCCTACCTGCAGAAGAACAGCGTCTGCAGCTCGTGTCAGGTCCAAGACGCATGCTGGCTCGGGAAGTGGCCGAGCGACTTCCCCGGCAAGATGCACCGCAAGAGAGGGCCACACCGGCCTTTCCTAAGTCTGCTCTTGCCTGGTACAGACTCTTTCCGCGATTGTTCAGGATAACTGTTGCCTTTGTGTAATTCAAAAGCAGAACTCATAAGTCTAAAAGGGCCTTGATGCCAGTATGTAGGATATGCACAATGTCTGACACCGATTGCTTTGCCTGGCTGTTTTCCTTTGTGTTCCAGCCTACAACGATTCAATACGCGAACAGAAACTGAAGCTGGACACCATCGAGCTCGAAAAATGACGCTTGCCGAGCGCTTGCAAACGTGCCTTGATGAGGTCAAGAAGGGCGTAGGTATTTGTACTGCGAGGGCTTATTGCTACAACTGTGACGGAGTTTGTGTGTATGTATATCTGTATATACA